AGGCTATTGATTGTCTGTCTTGATTACGGCCTCTACTGATTTCTTTAAATCTGTAAATGCAAACTGGTTATATTGAGCAAAGTTAGTGAAATTCGTTTATTTTTTTAATTATTCTAGATACGCAAAATATTTATTTTTCTCCAAATCATGAAAAGTATTAGGGTACGTGGTAGTCCAGTGAAAGTATTAGAAGAATTATATTCCCAACTTGACTACATAATCATACCCACTCACTCACTCACACTAGCCTGTGGTAGCTGTACACAGACTCAGTCGAGATAGAACACAACCATGCCTGTCTGAGAGGGATGACTAAAATGTGTCAAAATTGGGAATTTGTGTCATAGTACAAATGGCATAGAATCTTGCTCATAAAAATCAAATGATGCTATAGCATGTCTTTTCAAAACTAAATTCTAAATACGTTCATTGTTTTTCATCTCTTATAACAAGGTGATTCTCAGGCAGGAAATACTGAAAAACTGAAAAATATTGTTTTTAAAAATCAGGGTGACCAGATGACCAGTCACAGAGTTGCTTCCCTTTAGTGTTGAGTAAACCCACCATCCTGAGTTGAATCCTGTTCGTCCTGATTATGTTTTTAAGTTCATCAGCATTGTAGCTTAAGCTCAATGGTTTCATCAAATTGAAAAGTGTCTTAAGATCTGCATCACTTCAGACTTTCCTTCCACACCAAGCAGACGGACATGATCTGACTAAAATACTGCTGTGGACCCGTGAAGGTCCGGGTTAGAATATTGATCTTCAGTAACCCATGCTTGTCGTAAGAGGCGACTAACGGGATTGGGTGGTCAGGCTTGCTGACTTGGTTGACACATGTCATCGGTTCCCAATTGTGCAGATCGATGCTCATGCTGTTGATCACTGGATTGTCTGGTCCAGACTCGATTATTTACAGACCGCCGCCATATAGCTGGAATATTGCTGAGTGTGGCGTAAAACTAAACTCACTCACTCACTCACTGTAAGTTGAATCCAACTCACTTCATCTACTTTGCCAAGTTTTAAACCAGTTTGCATTTACAAGTTTGTCCCTACAGGAAGCTGAATGTTTATTTCTTTTCCTTAAACGTTCCAGGTAGTATTTGACTTTGAGGGAATGAAACGAGATTCTAGAGCTTAGGTGAGATGGACCGACTTGTTCACACTGCAAAATTCATTACCTCGTTCACATCGCTTCACCAAAACTACAAATAGTTGCCTTTTTCATTAGAATTCTTCTCTTCTTTCCACATCTCCCCGACCCTGTAAATGCCAGTTATTGTTGTCTTTCGTCGTATTAGAAAATAGTCTCTCACTTTCATGAAATAAAACAACAAAGTTCAGTATAATCGTTGAAATTGTTTGAAGACATTTACAAATTCAAAAAACACCATTTTGATCTGATGTAAAACAGGAAACTATGTTTATAAGGAACGCGCTTGTAGCGAACTGTACAGTAAACTCTTATCCCAACCACTTGATATATATTTTAGTCAAATTACATTTAATAAACTATGTTTATAACGAACTAAAATTAGTGGCCCCTTTGAGTTCGTTATAACCATAGTTTATGTACATGGTGACATTCGCTTGACGAGGGAACAAACATCTGTATCAAAACTTCACACTGAACAAAGTAGCAGACGTCAATTCGTCATCACTTTTGATACAGCAGACGTGCATGTACGGCTTCCTTTACTGGTGTACTGGGTAGGTCAGGGTCCACTGCTTGGGTTGCTGGATGATGTTTGTTGTCAGTAGATCATGTCATAGCTGAATATTATTGGCCTGGGCCCTGTTCTTCAAAGCAATCGTAGCACTACGACTGTCGTAACTCCCATACTTTAACATAGACTTACAACAGTCGTAGCGCTACGACTGCTTTGTGGAACAGGCCCCAGATGAATGAGTAAGTAGGTTTTTACGTCACTTTTAGCAACATTCAGAAATATCATGGGCTTGACACATTGTACCCATGGGAATCGAACCGGATCTTCTGCATGATGAGCGAACACTTTAACCACTGTGCAACACCAATGCCCTATAGGCCAGATGAACACTCAGCAGCTGAATGTAGAACTGTGGTACACTCTTTCTGCATATAGAAAACTGTCTAATGCTTCTTGGAGTGGCATTTTTAGAAGTTGTTCATCCATAGTTTGTCTTTATCTTTGTCTTATACTTCAAAACAGCCTGGCTTTTTCTTCTGATTTTACTTTTCATTATTTTAATCCTCAAGATTTTATTTGGTCTTTTTTGTAAGATTAGAGGGCGATTAATTTGGTTGAATATTTATAAACTGCCAAATAAAAATTAGTTTTATAGTTGACTGTGTGTCAGGATCTGCTGGCCTTGGTTCAAATAGCGGCTTTGTTCTAATTATGACCATCAGTCAGCCTGTGGTACCGGGTACAGCTTAACGTATATATAAAATATTAAAAAACAGCCGTGGGAGCTGTGCCAATTAACGCTTATCAGAGAAGTACGCAGTCTAGACTACCAGTTGTGCGACTTCCATTTTGTGGAAGTGGCCGTGGCTGAGTGGGTTAGATGGCTGACTTTGTGTGCTGGCGATTTGGTGCCTGACTCTGTGGGTGTGGGTTTAAATCCCAGATGGGACTCAACCGAACAAAAGTACTAGAATCTGTACTTCACTAAGAAAGTGTAATCCCAAATATAGCATGTGTTATATAATATATAGTTGTATTGATATGCTGGTATATAAAGTGTATATGTTTATATATAAGATGTATATATATGCTATTATATAAGGTATATATATATCACATGTATTTAAGGGAGAGCTCTGACAAAATGGCGCAGTTCTGGTTTATCAGTTATAAGGGCAAAATGTTACATAGAGGGGGCAATGAAAAAACATTACAAAGATTTGCAGTGGAGGCATTGGCAAGATATGGTTCAGCCGTAAGACAATCCCAGTAATAAATGAGAGCAGCATTACACTCAATCAGAAGTAGACCAGTAAACAAGCAGGAAGCATCATTGTCTCTGAGATTTCTTCCACTACTCTGAACTGTCTCATTGAATCACCCTGCACCTTGTAGTGATTGTAGTTGTAGCTTTGTGTGCACCGGACATATACAGTCTCTACTGACAACCAGAATTATTACAAAACACGTCTTGGACATGTATAACAATGAGCATCGGTCACGTTTCAACCACAATCTTGATGATTGAAGTGATAATAGTGATGTCTCTTGGTCAGATACAAGTTGTGTGTATAGATTGTGAATTGACTACCGACCTGGGCCCTGTTCCACAATGCGATCTTATCCCTAAGGTGATCGTAACTGCCATACTATAACATTGGGTTACTACAGTCGTAGAGCTAAGATGGCTTTGTGGAACAGAATCCTGTTTGTGTTGTCTTTGGACTCGTTAAGTCCTGTGATCCATTCCACAAAGCGATCGTAATGCTGAGGCGATCGTAACTCCTGTACTTTAACATAGTTTGTCACAGTGCTACGATCGCTTTGTAGAAAGGAGCCCATCCATAAAGTAATCGTAGCACCGAGGTGATCGTTACTCCTGTACTTTAACATAGTTTGTCACAGCGCTACGATCGCTTTGTAGAAAGGAGCCCATCCATAAAGTAATCGTAGCACCGAGGTGATCGTAACTCCTGTACTTTAACATAGTTTGTCACAGCGCTACGATCGTTTTGTAGAAAGGAGCCCATCCATAAAGCAATCGTAGCACCGAGGTGATTGTAACTCCTGTACTTAAACATAGTTTGTCATAGCGCTACGATTGCTTTGTAGAAAGGAGCCCATCCATAAAGCAATCGTAGCACTGAGGTGATCATAACTCCTGTACTTTAACATAGTTTGTCATAGCGCTACGATCTCTTTGTAGAAAGGAGCCCATCCATAAAGCAATCGTAGCACTGAGGTGATCGTAACTCCTGTACTTTAACATAGTTTGTCATAGCGCTACGATCGCTTTGTAGAAAGGAGCCCATCCATAAAGCAATCGTAGCACCGAGGTGATCGTAACTCCATTATTTCAATATAGTCTTACGACTGTCATAGTGCTACGATCGCTTTGTGGAATGCAGCCCTGGATGATGAGGTTCCATCATCGTAACAACATATGAGTTGCAGTCGTATTGAACAACATTTCAAAGTATAAGCATGGTTGTTTGTGGGTTCGTCAGATAGCTAACGAGCTGTAGATTATAGTCTGCATGTAATGGTAATTGTGCTTTGTATAGAGTGATCTGTTGTCATGGATACCTGATATTTCAAATAGACTTTGTCTACAGTTCCACTACTTTTCTCATCATCTGTAGCTGTCATGTGCTTATTACTTCAGTGTCGGTCTAATGGATCTATTTGCTGTAATGTGCTAGATTGCATGAGTGTGATAACATTTCATTAAATGTTGTGCTAGATGTTGACAATAAGTTTGAGCAAGTTTTTTTAGTTGCAATGTCATTATATTTTTGTTTGTAGAAAGTTCACACATCATTTTAAACAAATGTCTAGGACATTTCTAATATTCTTGATAACATTTCTTATATTTTAAATATATATTTTAACAGTAGCATATTGTAATTGATAATCAGACTTATGGTTTAATGCCATTCCACTTGATAAGGCTGTATTCATTTTAAGTGTAATTGTTCTGCAGATTTACATTTTTTGTTGGAGTGCAGATCATGCTGTTTCGTGAACACTGTATAATTTTGACATCAGAAATAAGATGTGTGCTCTTTACATATGCTTTTCAGTTGGTATTAATATCTGATTATTTGAAAAACAGTGTGCGTAATATTGTTTATGTTGAAAATAGAGTGTATCTGTATGGTTAAGCCAATAGCAAGTGTGCAAAGAGTTTTCCTCACTTTTATATGTATTTCAGTATTTTCTATTGTTTCAGGTTTCATGTTAAACTGCTCTCTTGATAATAATTACTTAGTGAAATAAAGCATTACACAGTATACATATGCTCAACTCTGGCTTTGCATGTTTCAGATGGCAATGGTAGACACTCGTAACTCCAACGCTCGACTCTCATTGACTTTCTTCCCCAACAGTCCTGGGTCAAGTAATGTCTGATTATCACACCTTATATTGGAACTACAGCCACTGCCTTGCTGCTGGCCAGCAAGGGAGATAACTCTACCATGGGAGATAACTCTCAGTCAGGGGAGATAAGTCTATCAAGGGAGGCAACTCTCAATCAAGGGAGAAAACTTTGCTTCTGCACCGAACTAAGGAGTTAGCGAGAAAGAGTTCATCGCATCAACCTTTCCTAATACAGCTGGGATAGAAAGTTGTTTTATTCAAGGGATGATCAAAGTCAGATCAGTTTCAATGAAAAAGTTGGTGAAATCAGAGATGAGACCACATTGATGAGAACACACTTGGTGAAGATGGGAAAGAGATGCTCTAATGGTCTGATGGAGACCGAATACACAGAAAAGCCTCCAACTAATCCAGGAAGTGTACAAGGTCACTGACTCACAACCCAGGGGAGACAACTCTTGCACGTACTCTCCTACTGATTATCAGTGCAGGTGAAAGATCTGAACAAGTTTATTAAAGACAGAATATAAACCTAAGCTGATCCCATTTTACAATACGTAGAACTACAATATGAAGTCATTACATGTATCAATGAATTTCCTGAAATGTTAGCAAGAATAATACAATATTCCGGCCGCTAACATGAAATTGTATCTGTGTTCTGTTTGCACCTAATCCTGTCACCTGTAACCCAGCATTTCCCTAAATGGCAGACAGTCCGAAACTTGTCATGTACAGTTTTAACTATCTGTTAATTCATTACATATAAAAGTTGTACCCGGTAACCATTAGCTATTTGCCTATTTGACAGATTTTCCTATTAACGCACAGAATAATTATTTTTTGAATTAAACCAAGAAGTACTTTATTGGGTCTTTCAAGTGGTATCCATAATTTGCAAATATTTTTTTTCACATGAAAATGAAATCAAACACAAAGTAAAATTCAGATCAACTCTGGATGTCAGTGAACGTTTCACAGAAAGGTATCATGCTTGCTAGGACAGCACACACCATGTAATGAAAGGCTGTGACACACATATCACTTGTCTATAGCTGCTTCGGATGGATGTAAATCCTATAATTACCGGTAAATAATCTTCATCTAATATTTCCTATGTTGACCACTGGCTCAGTGATGATTTTTCTCAGACATTCATGAACCACTCACTTAAATATGCGGACTAATGACTGTAGATTTACCTATGTTTGTTTACATTTGATTATTGAATACTTTTAAACCGATATCACGTGTACATAGTCCTGCTGTTGTTGCTATGACAACACAGCTGCAGTATGTATGTTTAATCTTTCGTCATCCGCAAGCAATACGTTATTTGGGGATAAAACATGCATTTGAATAACTGTATGCAAAGAAATGGACCTTATTTGTTAACAAAGGTCAGACTTGTATATGATTGCAGCTGCTTATGTAGCAGTAACACTTAGTTTCAATCTTTTCTTTTAGTATGCTCAATGTTTTAAGCAGACTCAAGAACCTTTTTATTGAATCAGCATGATTTTATTGTCAGCGTGATGATTAGGCTCAAACATGTTGAAGTCATTTGTATCCTTTTCAATTTGACATGTGAATTTTGATTCACAATACTATATACACTTGTTATTCATTTTATGGTCCCGACATTAAGCTTTTAAATATGTAATTTCATTTCTATAGTTACCTTAAAAAATCTCCTGCCCTTGACTGAGGCAAGTTAAAAACATGAGTTCCTTTGATACAGAATCACAGGTGTATCGTAACCTTAGGCCCGGACTTTAACAGATTCTTGTGAAGATCTGGGATACAACCCAGGGTTCGTACAGATTTGAAAAGTGCTTGAATTTAACTACATTTGATGAAAAGTACTTGAATTTGAAAATTTACCACAAAAGTACTTGAAAAGTACTGGATTTGTTAATGTGTCCTTGAAAAGTGCTTGAAATTTCATTAAAATATTTGTTGTGGTTCCACTGACGATCAATTGATCGTTTTGATTAAATTGCGTCTATTTCCTGGTTCCTTACAACATAAAAAAAAAAAAGAAATCGGGCTCTGTCTGTGAATCTGGCGTTTGCGCTGCATTCTGATAAATCGTCATTAATGCTGGAGGCTGCATTGTCAAAACCGAAAGTGAAACTTGTCTGCAATACTTTGGGGGAGAAAAAGTGGTGCTTGAAAGCATCATATGCCCATGAAAAGTCCTTGAAAAGCCCTTGACTCTCATGGGCTCTTGGCTGTATGAACCCTGCAACCGGTCTTCAGCAACACATAATTGATGTGAGAGGCAAATAACGGAATTGGGGGCACTGTTTTGATTCATGTCTTCATATCCTAATTTGGGAGACTTCTCCGTATGACGTCAATCACTGTATTGTCTGATCAAGACTGTATTACCAGACATCCATCTGGAAATTGGCTGGAATATTGCAAAACATACTAAAGAGTGATTACACTCCACAATTTGGAGACAGTTTCCAGACAAAATTATTTAAGTCATCTGTAACTAGAAGAATGTTAGTCAACTGTAAGAAATACATACATCCCAAGACAATAACAGGCAGACATGGTCTACCCGTTTCTCACAGCTTCTCAACCAGCAAGTGGTATGGTTCATAACAATATGGACTGACTTGTAACAGACTTCTGTAAATAGTCTCACAGCTCATTCTCCAGACTCACCCCCATCCTTGTAGAGATGTTTCATTGATACGTGTGTTTATCTGTTTACCATGTTTTTGATACAATTATGAAGGTGCTAATCTACTTGTACACTGAGCTGGAAACATCAACTACATGTTATTTATTACTGTCTGTCTGATGGATGCTCCAACCTAATACAGCGGCAGATTCAGTCTCTGTGTTGACCGTGTCAGTGACGATTTATATATGTTTTATCTCGTGTAATACCTGCATTATCACATGCTTAGCTGTACTGGAAAACGTTTATCAGATGGGCATATCTGGTCCTGTCTATGAAGGTGATATGATTTCTTGTGCGGAGTTGCATCCCCTAGAAATGCCAGGATCTGCAGGTAATGGATTGGGAATCCCCAGTTTCACCAGCTTATTATTTTGTGTCAGAACTATACCCACAGTAGGACCAACTTCAGGCTTTCCACACATTAGCAAACCCAGCCATATTACTGAAATACTGTTCACTTAAACACTTATTTGGTGAAGAATGTTTTTGTTTTTTACTTTAAAAATTATCAGTTTACTTTTATAAGGTTTATTGAGTGATTAAACATGCATTCTATTTTATTGTCATGGAAAGAGAGCCTATTTCGTCTCTCCCAACATCTTGGAAAAACCATAAGTATTTTAACTGAAATTGTTACTTTTTGTGTAAGTGTCGCAGGTTCATACACTTGGCAGACCTCCTGCCATGTTGAATAGATTCTTCATATTTTCTAAATAGTTGAGAAAGAAAACAGAATGACAGAACAGTAAATAAAACATTGTCATGCATTTGTATTTAGGTTAATTCTTTGATAGGAACGTGAAATGGAACTGCTCTGTTGATCACTGACATATACAACTAAACTGCGTGACAGAATTTACAGTTCATTTCTTTCACCAAGGAGGGCTGCCTAAAAAGACTGATAATAGGAAATATCATTTGTAGAAAAAAATTATCAATTACAGGTATGAAAATTGTGTCATCTTATGTATCTCTTTTGTGAACTATTAGGATGAAATATATTTTCATACAACAAAGCAGATTTGTGCCGAAAACGAAATGCAATCTGTGGACTACATTTTTGTTAGTAATCCATACGTAAATGTTTCACCACTTTCCAGTGATGTGAAATTTGTTGATTTCATACAGAGTCTGTGTGCTTTTTTGAAAAAAATACCTCTTCAATTCTTAGTGATAATTAATTGATGTTAATGAATGATTTTCAATCTCTATCAGTTATATCCGTAGCCAGCACAGACCCAAGTGTTGTAAAGGTATTGTCTTGAACAATCTCAGTCAGATCCGGGCATCCTGAGAGACTGTTGTGTTTACGCCATTCTCATGAACATGTACAGAATGCTGGTTTCATGCTTTAGAAGTGTTAACTAAATTGTCCCTTTTAAATGTACATTTCATTTTATGTGTAATTATTGTTAAATATTTTTGTAAAGTGTTCAAAGATTTTCAAGTCAGTCTTAGTGTTACTAACAGTGAGTGTTATGTTTTTGTATACAGCTGATTTTTTATCAGATCTTCAAATGATTGGATAAATGGTTGCCCGATTGAATGCCATCTGTACCCAATGATAACATATTTTTGCAGACATATTACTGTTACAGTGTGTCAAGTTGAAAGTGTTCAAAATGTGTTGCATTTCTTAAACTTTCACCAAACAACCCGAAAGCTTCAACTTTCTAACCAATACATTTGAACAAAAGGAGCTAATGCATTGTGACCCCACTAAGGTCATTTTCTGTGTATTTCTGAATTGTTATTATTTTGTTCTATTCTACAATTTACAGGCTTACAGTTACCATGACTTTATCTGTGAGATAGATCATCACATGGTGAAAGAATGTAGAAAACTAAGTAGTGAATCTTTTGAATTCTAAATTTAACTGGACTTTATAATTTAAATACTGGAGAAACATGTCACAGAATATGGTGTGTTGCAAATATGAGACAATATCATTAACATGAGTAGCCTGTGCCCATTTGGTCCAGATGCTACTAGTGACCCCACCAGGTTTCAGTGTAAAGTTTTCAAAAACAGTATGCCAGAGTATGTTTAACAATCAGTCTGGATAAATGAGGTTTCATTGTGCAGTTTTGAAAACCAGTATGCTAGAGTTTGTTTAACTATCAGAGTCAGGATATACAGTCACTGTACAGTTTTCCCCAAACAGTATGTTAAAGTATGTTTGTCCATCATAGCAGAGACCATATAATATATGGTCTCTGATCATAGTCTGGATAAATGAGATTTCACTGTACAGTTTTGAAAAACACAGGGTTTGAGCATGTTTGGATCCTGACGAATATGTGAATTTAAACTGATTTGTTTACTTCCCCAGCCTGTGAACTAACCTTACTGTGTGTATGACCACGCCTGCCTCTACTCTGTATTTACATTTTCAATGTGGGCTTCGCTTGACCTCTTCATCTCCAACTGTTTATATTTCCAGTGTTTATAATTAGCGTTGCTTATGACAGATCTGCAAATAAACCAACAATATCTACAACTGTTGTTGTTTAATGAAAGAGAGAAGTTGGTTGGTTGTTTAACGCAACACTCAGCAATATTCCAGCTATATGGCGGCGGTCTGTAAGTAATCAAGTCTGGAACAGACAATCCAGTGATCCACACTATGAGCATCGATCTACGAAACTGGGATACGATGACATGTGTCAACCGAGTCAGCGAGCCTGACCACCCGATCCCGTTAGTCGCCTATTAGGAGTTACTGAAGACCAGTTCTAACCCGGATGTCCACGGGTAAAATAATACACGTGAGTAACGACATCCACAAACATCCTGGTCCACGTCAATGCCAGTCAACTCTGGAAGAACTGAAAGACATCAGGCAGCACATGAATCAAGACTTTAGAGACTTGTGTGGAAAATGCTATAGCTAGATCAGCGGATAAGCCTTGACTCCGAGGAAACAGTAGATCTATTAAATAAATAACTGCTGAAATCGGTTGGATAAAATCATTTTAGCAGTCAAGCAGTTGTTCACAATTAAGCAAATTTAAAATGAAAACAAAAGAAGCAAATTTTAAACTTGCCCATTTCGCTCAAATAAAGAGATTGGACGCAGAAAAACGTCCAGAGGGTCATTCTACCCACAACACATATTTGTGAGCAGATAAAGCAATACCACCCAACCAGAACACTAAGATCCGTAACTCAGTTTCTCTGTACTGTCCCTAAGTGGCGACTTAAAGGATTTGGCT